CATATATACATACAGTAAATATATATATATATATATATAAATATAAGTTTAGAGAATTATGTGGGTTAAAGAAAAATTATATTATTATGTATATAACATACAACTTAAGTACTGTTTCTTCTTAATAGTACTTTCTGTGCTGTTGCCTCACCTCAAACTTTTATCTTAACATACCAACTATCTCTGGCTGTGAAAATATGATTATAATTACTGCCTCGTGACTACTTTGATGTGCAAAAATGTATCTGGCTAGTCTAGAATCAGAGGACCGAAGAAGAGTATGTGTATGTTTAAATAAATTTGATTTAAAAAAAGGTATCTGGCAACGTGCTCTTTATAAACTGAAAGCTGCTGTTGGAAGTATAGTTCCAGCATGTTTGTGGTTGAATTAAGGCAGCCACGTGACTTAGCTTAGATTTTAACTCAGTTACAATCTGCACAATAGATAAATGTTGTTTTTAAATCTCAATATAGTCTGTTTATTTATTATTGTTTAAGAATCGGTCTTATCAGAGATGTTATGATAAATTCAGTTGTTTAACTTCAAATGCTGGTTTTATATATATATAGTACAATGCTGGACTGCTTTGATAGATGACAAATAATTATTACTACTTTACAGTTTACTTTTTCTGTTATAGTATAAACTGTTTTCTTAAATGTAATTAGATACTTAAAATAAACAAAGAAAATGTTAAACAATTTTTTTTCCAAGTACGAGACTAGAGACAAAAACAAAGCGTATTTTTTCCTTAGTTTTGTTTTGCTGTATTGTTGATTATTTTTATTTAAGTTAAAAAGGTGGGTTGTTTTTCTGTTGTCAACTTTACATTTTAAGTATTGTACTTAAAAAGTTTTAGTGTCAGTAAGGGGGAATAATAGAAAACAGTTTTCTTGTTTTTTCCAATAGAAACATTCATATGCGACACAGATGTTGAATTACATGATGATGGCAATGTTTTTGTACTGATTTCCCACAATCATAAAATTCCCATTTCTTTCATAGGTTAGTAATTTATCTTTTTTTTTTTTTTCATGTGTGTGCCACATGGTATTTTAAATTTAGGGAGGGCAATAGCAACCCTCTTTAATAAAAAAAAATATTAAATTACAGGTGATATAACAAACCTTTCCTCATGATTACTGAATCAACATAACATTATAAATATTCAAAATGTAAACTTGATCATTTAAATATCCCTACAAATATTCAAACTGTGAAAATGGTGATTTATTGATATGGTATATGCCAGTAAAGTAAAGGTTAACTAAAAAGGAATTAACACATAAAAGTTCTGTAATCTTTTAATATACAATTAATACTGTTAAGTATGAGTCAAGTCCCTGTAATCAAATATTTGGATTTTTTGCACCTACATGTGTAACCTGGAATATATTATTCTCTAAATTTTGAATCTTCTTGGAGAAGGAAGTATATTAAGATCTTGTTGTCATAGCTACTTGCTAATCATCCTTTATCCTCTAGTGATAAAATATAGCTTAGAATCAGATGTAAATTTTAAGCAGAATTATGTGTACTGTAGTGGCATAAGGAGGTCATTAAGCTAAACAGATTCTAAGAAAGTTTATCATGTTCTAGTTGTAAAATGTAACATTTTGATTACAATATTGAAAGTTTATGGCACTTTCAGGTGTTTATAACAGTTTCAATTTGTAGTTGTTGAAATTGTCCATAAATTGGTAGAACTGGCAGTGAGACAACCATGAAAATATATGAGTCTGGCCAAAACAAAAGCAGAGATGAGCATTTGTTTATACTCTTGGTTTTAAATTATTCTTTATATGTTTCATAAATATAGGTACTTGTACTAATACCTTCTGGATATTAACTCATATTATTGCTGATTTACCAGCTAAAAAATTACTGCAACAACTTCCGTCAGTAAGGTGTTGTTGGGGCCCTATGCTCCAGCCCTATTGCTGATTTAAATTTTGATTACCAGATATTCATTCTTGTGTTCAAAATCTATTACTTCTTTTTAATCTAGCAAGTGCTGCTTAATTAAAAGCTTCTAGTCAGTAAGGTAACTTTTTATTTGACTAAAAATTTATTATCTACAAAGAGGCAAAATACTACAATATATATATTACATATTTCCATGAATAAATTCCAATTAGTTCACTTTTCCTCTACATAATGTGCATTATCACATCATTCTATTTGATTTCTTTTAAATGAAGAGAATTGTTTTGCCAGTGACATGAAATGTGTGCCAAGTAATATTAGAAAGTTGTGTGACTATTTAAGTAAACATATATAAAAAAAAGTAAGAATATTCTTTACAACAAAGTATAAATGCAGAAATTAAAGAAGAAAGTTCTCCGATATTTCATAACTACCTTGCTTGTGTTCATTCTGTAAAAATGAACATTCCAATTTGTTTGTGGGACTTTTGTAATAATTCTAAAATATTTTGTAGTGTTTGTTCTTATTAATTTCACTACTATGTGGACATCGGTGGAAAAGTAGAACCTGCACATAACCATGTACGAGTTTTTGTGTGACTGATGTTAAATAATGTATAATAGTTGGGTAATTTGTTTTTTGTTGTAAATATATGGATGTTTATTTTGATTGTAAGTATAGAAAGATATGTGATCTCAATCTTCATTAAACAGTATTTATTGATCACAGCATAGTAGTTTTGTTTTTTTCTCTCATGGGAGAAAAATTATTATCTGTATTTAAGTGCTTATAATCAGTTGATGAAAGTTCAGCTCTAAAGAAATGCCATCCCACCAAGCATGCTCACCCTTTCAGCTGTGGGGGGAGTTATAACGTGACAGTCAATCCCATTATTCGTTGATAAAAGAGTAGCCCAAGAGTTGGCAGTGGGTGGTGATGACTAGCTAGCTGCCTTCCCTCTAGTCTTTCACTGCTAAAGGGATGGCTTGTACAGATAGCCCTTGTGTAACTTTGCATGAAATTCAAAACAAAGTAAACTAAAGAAATGCCTTCTTGAAGATTTGAATGAATATTTATGACTAACTTTATTCTTGGATTTAAATCACCCCAGTAATTTAAGTGAATCATAATTCAGCAGGTTATTTTCTCTATTGATTTAATGTTAACCTGCAAGTACTATCATGTAGGTGTTACTTAAACTTGGAGCATGTTTGATGTGGGATATTTTTTATTACACTGTTTACTCTCATTGAAAAGAATACTTACATTTGGTGTTACACATTTCAATATTCTGTGGTTATAAAGTATTTGTTTAGTGTAACTTCAAGAAAATATAATATCTAGTTTAGTTACAAATGGCTCAGCTGCAGAATTGCCATTTGGATTGTTTTTCACTATAGTTTTCCCACTTTCTCTTCCCTTTACTAGCATTATGCATATAACATCTGAACCGTGTAGAGTCATTTTTAATTTTGAAAGATTTAATATGTAATGTAAACGTTGTTTTGCCTATATTTTATAAATTACATCTTTCTATTGTATAACAAGTATTTTTTTTTCCTAACCGTATCCTACATCTTCACACACTAATTTGCAATCACTCTAATTAATTTAGAATTTTTTTTCAGGTTTTAAATAGATTAAGTGGTTTACAGGGAAACGTAATAGTATTAATACCAGGTATTCAAAACCTGGGCTCTGAAAATATCCACACTACTAAGAAAGTCACTGTTCACAACATATATATATATATATACCATCATCATTTACACTTTTTGATCAAATAAATTCAGACATTATTTATAATTATATGTAAAACAACATTTACATTCCCCATAAAATTTTTAAAAATGACTACATGTTTCGGTAGCTTCTGCTACCATCATCAGGAGTGAAAATCTACATGAACAGCAGGTTTTTATGTAACAATGGTTGGGGTGACATGAATACTGCACATATGAAGTCACTATTTCCAGCCAACCCTTTATCCCTATTTTAACAAATGATTTTTTAACTTACCATTTACAATACAAAAGTTCAATAGTGCTTAATTTTGGAGGGAAATATCGACTTCATACGTGCAGTATTCATGTCACCCCGACCATTGTTACATAAAAACCCACTGTTCTTGTAGATTTTCACTCCTGATGATGGTAGCAGAAGCTTATGTTACAATTGATAAACTGATTTTATCAATTATCAAACTGTAGAACAAATATACAAATTTTCACAAAGCTAAAATAAGAGTCCATTATTTGTAAATTTAGTAACACAGTTACATTTTTAAAGCTTATTGAAACTGGATAAAAAAAAGATTTATAGTGATACAGTCACTTGTATGCTCAATTTTTTAAGATGTAGATTTTAATTATAAAAATGTACAGGTGGTTAAGTAAATATTTCAGCTTTTTATAAAAAGTAAAAGCATGTTTACACAGCATTATAATGCACAAGCATTACTTAAGCAAGAAACTGGTTATTTAAGGTATTTCCATTTACTTTTGTTTCAACAACAATTCTCCTTCTGCTTGAGCTAGCAAAGTTTCAACTTCTGTCTTCAGGTGTTTAGGTGAAAGGAAGAAACTAACAAAGAGTTCCCGCTCTTTGATATGTAGGGGATTGGCTTGCAGTTGCTGCAAACAAGAAATAAAATTCAGTTTTTATATTTGTTAATAGTTTTAAACTTCCAGCTAATCCTCTTTGTCAAATATTTTTACAACTGATGTGATGTAACAGTTTTTATGGTTAACATCTAGTTGAATTTATTAGAAACTTATTGCTATAATGAAATTCAACTTGAGCAGGCGTATTATGAACTGGTGGTTAGGGTACTCGTGTTGTGGGTTTGAATCCTATTACCAAACATGCTTGCCCCTTTCAGCCATGGGGGCATTGTAAGTTGTTACTAGTGTGGTAAGAGATGTTGACTAGCTTCCTTCCCTGAAGACTATCACTTCAAAATTAGGGACAGCTAGCACAGACAGCCCTCAAGAAGCTTTACATGAATTTCAAAAAATAAACAAATAGTTAGATCACTTAAAACTAGTATACACAAAGTTTACAGTTTTATGGTCTAATTTTACTCTGTTTGTTAGATTTTGCACAAAGTTATGTGAAGGCTATCAGCACTGGCAGTCCCTAATTTTGAAGTCAGAGACCAGTCAACACACACAGTCCTGAAGTGCAGAATGCCATACATATATATACACACACACTTTTTGCAGCAACAACATGGAGTAAAAAAGCTCAGCTTCAAAGTCCAACAAGCTTACCACACTTGGCCTGTCTTGTATTTTACATAATTGTTGTTCATTAGCTTAATTAATTATTTAAGTTTGCATTATTAACTTCAAATATTCAAAATCAAAGGCACAGAAAGTATTTTCTGTGTAAGTGGTTAAAAAAGTTACTTGAAAACTAATCAGCTTATTCATATAAAGGTTTTAGCAACTTTTATAAACACAATGCTACCTTCATTCTATAAAATTAGCCCTAATATGATAAGTTTTAGTATATCTTTACAAAAAAACTCATCATTTCTATAAAAACTGAGTGAAAAAAGAAGGAAAATGTCAAACCTTTTTTCTACGATCAAAATCTCTCATTCCATCTAACACTCTCTTTTCTAATGTTTCCACCTTGGAAGCCAGCTTAGTTAAACCTTCCGCCAATTCTCGTGGTCCTGTGATTGGTTGGCTTGAGCCAACTGTGGTATTTCCATAAGTTAGATTAAGCCATTTCTTCAACTCTCCCTCCCTGATTCAAACAATGAAAACAAAATCACTAAGCCTATTATAATATCTTAATCATTTTTTATAACAAGTTAAATTGTGACTGAAAAAATAGCAAAATTATTATATGAATGACACACTGAAATCTTAAAATTACCATTAAGTTTTTTAAAACTGTTTATGTACCAAAGTGCTGCCACAGTATCTCCTTCCTTCAGTCTTCTTCTTTCCTCACAGAAGAAACTCCAACTGTCTCTTTCTGGTGTAAGGCAGCATCTTCCTCCTGCAACCTGTTCTTTGAGGCATGATTTGTCCAACAACCTTCAAGATGCATCTTAAGAACCACAATGCAATTACTTCAATTCTTTTTTTTCATACTTGGTGATATTGTCCATTCTGATGCCTACATGAGACTTGATATCACACAACAATCCAAAACTTAACTTCATCCCCATGCAAGTTTTTCTGTTTGTCAGTATCTTTTTTTCCTTTTCAGAAATGCATCTTCTGCCATCCCTATTCTCCATTTTCCCAGGCAGTTGAATTTATTGATCTGCCTTATCGACTTTGACAATACATACAGGTATAATCCTCGTCTTTGTAATTACCATACATTCTGTTTTCCTACAATTAATATTTAAACCCTTATTCACACTGTCACTAAATACTGTATCTAAAACTTTTTGTAGCTTCTCTTCTGAATTAACAATTAAAATTGTGTCATCAGCATAATTCAAGTTGTTCAAATTATTTCTGTAAATTGTCAGCCCTCAACCTCCCTAATATTTTCTCACTGCACAAGTTAAAGTACACAGTTTTGGCTTCTTATCTTGATGGTACATATTACAGGGATATGGTCACTCCCACAGTCAGCCCCTGGGGAAGTTTACAATTGTTGTACTGCATTCCTGAATCTTCTATTAATGGTGATGTAATCAATTGGGTTTCTAACATCGTCTCCAAGACTTTTCCATGTATACCTTCTTCTTGGGTGGTGCTCAAACCACGTGTTCATAATGACTTTATCATTTGCAACAAACCAATCAATCCATTTCTCTCCAAGTTTGTGTGGTCCAACAATATTATCCACTTGCTTACAACCAACTTTCGCATTTAGATCTATCACTGTGACCATTTCTTAAGGTCTGCATTTCTTTTTCGTATATTCAAGGTTTTCATAAGAAACCATCAATTTTCTCTTCTTAATTTTCAACTGTAGGTGCATAGATTTGTATTATTGCAATGTTGAAGGGTTTAGCCTTTATTTTCACAAACATCATTCTTATCAGATATTATCCAAAATCAACCCAACTCTTCTTTCATGCATCTGACCTCCTAAATAAATTATCTTCATATCTTCTGAAACAATAGTTCAAACATCTTTCACACAGACCAAGAATATTGATCTTTAATTTTTTCATCTCATGCTTGGCATTAAACAATTGTCCAATTTGGTGTAGAATCCTCACATTCCACGTTGCCAACTTGACTGGTCTTTTTTTGGGTGTAGACAGTAAGGAGTCACCTGTTGCACATGAATTTACTTACCAGGCAGGTGTCCTCTCCATTTCCATGAGGAACCTCCTATACGCTGTTGTGGTTTTTCTTTGATTCATGAAATACCATAGGTTATGCTTGGCAAAATAGTGCAGTAGGTTGTAGTTAACAACTAACTGGAGCAGGTCTCCTCTACCATCTGCCAGATGAGATGATCTACCATCCTGTACCTCCAACTGTAACCCTGGTAAGGGAGGCTAATGGGTGCTATGCCTTCATCCTCAATACAATCATAATTGACCCTAATCAGCACACCTTTGAAAAGTTAATTTGTGGAACATCTGGGGTCCAATTGGACCCCAGCAAAAAATTACCATTATAGTGAGCTCTGGATTGAAATTCCAAAATCCAATTGCATTACAACTTTATTAGGGTTAGCATGCAATGTGAACAAATAATATATGTATTCTAGAGGAAATATGTTGACAAATCAGGAGATTACAAAATTACATTGTTCCTCAGATAAGTGTTATTAAACCATTTCTTATACAGTGTATCAAAAAAATGCCAAAGTTTTATTATACTCTTATATTCAAGTCATTATCCACCAATATATGACGAGATTACCATAATACTGCAAAATTCAACTCAAAGAAAACTGAAAGTATGTGTTGTGGGTCACCTTGGGTCTGACCAAACCCCAACAAGTATATCCTTATAGTAGGCTATGGATTGAAAATCCAATAAGCAGGTTATTTACAACAATTATCAAACAAGGTTTCTATAAAATGGGGCATTATAAGCAGTCATCACAGAGGACACTTGTTAAGAAATGGATTCATACACATGCTTACTACAATGATGTTATAAGCAAACAGACTAGATGATACTACACTAATTTGATGGATTATCCTCTAAAACAGCCTATATAGTGAAATAAATGTGAACTGCATGTATAGTGATGGTCAATGATAGTATGGGGTCTGTATGGACCCCAGATAAATATTAGATTATAGCTACGTACTCCTGCCTGTTACAAAACAATAGTCTCATACTGATTTAGGGTTTCTGCTGAACAATTACATATATGAATATAAATTTGTAACAATTATGTAAAAAAAAAGATACAACCGAGAAAGTCATTGGCGTCTGTTCATTTGGACCCAGGTGTGCTGATGAGGATTAAACATTTTCTGTACTCTTAAATTGAACAAATGTTACATATGTACAATAACACCTTGAGTGGGCAAATTACACATTCAATATTGAAATGATTAGCATAGGCACATACTGTCTTACATATTTGATAGCTACACTGCCTATACATGAAGTCAAACTTTGAACTACAAGTCTTAGGATATAGAACATAGTAGCTAGTAGAACATGAAATTTACCACAATACAATAAGAATAATAAATCATTATTTATTGGGCCAGTAAATAATAATAATGTGATTTAAGTTATTACTACACACATATTATAACTGTATCTAACATAGTTAAGTGAATACTACACGTTATAGAATATGTAATGCAGGTTATTACTTGTACAACAAACTTTAGATTCCCACTTCCAGCCCTTTATTAAGAGCATTTCAAACCAAGAGTAAAGCTGGGCAATTAGTGATATTTGCTGATTGGTTATTGGACAGCTCAATTAATTAATACAGAATTCCATAAACAATTATTATGAATAAGTTTAAAAAAAAGAGGAGCTGAAGATGGTGCTGCCAGCCAGTTGCCTTCCCTCCAGTCAGCAGTAGGAATTGAACACTCAAACCATGACACCCCCACCCCAAGTTACCAAAGCCAAGCAAACTTGAAGTAAAAAACAACCTATAAGGCTAAGAATGGGTAGATCACAGATAGACCATTCATTATATAGTGTTGTGCTTAACAAAAAACATAATACAAATATTTCAATTACTTGGATAATTGGAAATGCTAATTTGAGTTAGTTGATTATTTTCATGACAATCAACTAAATTTTGATTATTTTCATGACACTAATGGATGCTCATAGATAATTGATTAAATTGCCTAGCTTTAGTAAAGAGGCCAAAAAACTTTTAGGGAACTTAAGAAAATTAAATATAAAAAAAATAATGCAACTACCGTTACAGTCAAAGCAAGACACGTGGAAAACTTTGTTAATCGTTATTTCCTTGAAAAGGAAAAACATTCTAATACTTATGACTTCTTTTTTTATATATATTATACAAAATAAAGCAGATCTTGTATCTATGATGCACAAAATGTTACACACAAGAAATACTGTCAAACAGCAAGATGGTTTCAGTTTTGATAATCAATAGTAACCTGCTCTTACTTTAAAATACTAAACAGTATTTCTTTTTACCTTTTATGTGCTGTTTATTCTTAATTTTGAGTATTTTTTTGGTTTTATATCCAATACCACTTGTCAGTGTCACTGAACAGTTGCTTCTGTTTCGATCAGTTCTTTGTACTTCGTATAACAGACTGCCAGTTGGAACTACAAAAACTACCTATCATACACATATCGTTGTTTCCAGAGGTAGAATACTTACAGTGAATCCAAGCATTGCATCTGCTCCATACGGTTTGTCAAAATATTTTCCTGCAGAGCTCTGTTTTGTTCTTCCAACTTCTCAGCAGCCTCTGCAAGTCTGGTGTACGTTGGAAACAGAGTACCACAACCACTACCACTTCCTTCTATAGGAAATCAAGCTTTAAAGCTTATAGAAAACCCATATTGCATTTCGATTATTTTTTAAACAATGGCTAAAGTTTCACACCCAAGATCTTCCAAAATGTACTTTACACATGTATTATGAGAAACTTGCTGAAGATGTGACTGAAATAAAATACTTAATGCAATATACAGAAGAAGAAGTAGAGTAACACTGGAGATAACACTATCTTTACACAAACAGTTTTTCATAATCATTTACACTTGAGAAAAAGAATAAGACATTTTCACTGGTATGATACAGAGATTTCAATAATATATATAATTTCTACCAGAAAAGCTGCTAAAATTCTACAATAATAATTACAATAAAAAAAAAATAGTCTCAGGTATGTGTAGTTGGCAATCTTCAAAGTTTCTTTGATCATTTTACTCTGAGTCATCAGTTGCTGCTAGCTGTATTTTTGGTCCTTAACACAAACATATTGTATATAGCACAAAACCTAATGACATGCACAAATCATGAATGTGTTGTTACTTATAATCCTTAGTTAATTACACTTGTAAGATTATTCAGTTTTTGATACAAAGCTCACGGTCTTTTTTTTTGTCAACTTATTTAATTAAAAAAAAAATTCAAATAACTTTAATGTATGTAATAGATTCAAACAGAGAAGCATTTGTGAGTTTTGCAGGTTTTCTCTTTTTAAAAGTGTAACATTGATACCCTGTCTTGGTCTTGTTCCGGGGCTCTTAAAATCCACTAAGAGACTCCCAAACTATAGTCAATAACTACAGAAATCAATTCAAATAGCAGAATTTCATGATACTAAAAAAACTATTGCTCATCCAAACTCTTCTAATATTTAAACAGTTTTAGTCTATCATTCATTTATGATTGTATTTGAAAAGATCTCCAAAAACATACTAAATATTTAATTGCTAGGCTTAGCTTATTGTTATGTACATACACAAACAAAAATAAAATATTCCATAAAATTGTTATATTTTTAACAATTTCAGTTTTATTGGTTATAAAAGTATCTACTATAGTTACTTTCTACACATATATAATAAACTATTCAACTGTACAGATACCTAGAATGTTCAAAAGTGCTTTCCCTGCAGTGTCAGTCGAATCTATTGTATGTGCAGACCTTTCTTGATCTTGCTGCTGAATAGTCATCATTTTACACTATTATTAAATCATACAAAAAATTATCTACTTGTATGAGGACCTTTTAAAACTTATTCTCAAATGAAAACTTTTATATATATGAGAGAGAGAGAAAGATAAAAATTATCATACTTATTTTATGCATTTTCAACTCACAAATCCAGTTGTATTTTTACAGTAAAACTAACATTTTGCACAATAATACTCTCAGGGTTTAAACACTTTACAAAAAATGAAATTCCAGGGCCCATAATCAAATTTCCACAATTCTTGAATCCTGCCACACTGAATTAAATTTACATTTTCCTGGCATTACCATTTGCCAAATGTGCCTGCCAGCAGACACTTTGACAGTATTGGGTTTTGTTTCTTTAATTACACTGATTATTTCATGGTAGATTTTTTTTATTGTAACTGAAATTTAGAGATATTCCAAGAGCATGATTTATAAACAGTCATTTTTCAAGGATTTTCAGATCTAAAAATTTAAAGCTACTTTCCCATGACTTTCATTGATCTGAAAGACCTGTAACCAAATTACTGAAGCCCATAAGGCATGAACAGTTCCTGAAACGAGAAAGAATTACACTTCATCTCTATTGGAATTCTATGTTGTATAATTAAAACTCGCCAAGATTATTAATAATATCAAACACTTATGGTTGGATTTATCTATTCATTATACCATTCTTTCTTGAAAGTCCCTCCATTCTTCTTGTAATGCCTTTTGTAATTTCTGTAGCAAACTATAGAGGTCTCTGTGTGCTTGGGCTTCCACTTCCATGACCATCTGCAGGAACTCTTGCCTTGCTCGCTGCTTCAGAAGATGTTCTATTACCTGATACAGATTTGTGTGAAAAATAAGTCAGTAAATTCTTTGATGTCAGAAAGCTAAATTTAAGTGAATCAATTGTCAGTGTTTAAACTATAACAGACATAGGCAACCTGCTTAAAGAAACATTGTATGTACTTCTAGCACACTGAAATTTAGAAATTCTATACACCTTATAGAATGCATACATAGTAAAAAGTAAAATAATAAAACATCATACTGTGCATTTCATTTAATAGAACAAAACATATATAAAAAGGAACAATCATCTGTTTGATACAGCATGCTTGATATTGTGTTCAAAGAAAGATCATTTATTCTAAAAGTGGTTGTTTTGAGGTTTGCTATTCTGTATTTCAGAAAGTAAGTCAACATACAGTTCAAAGACCCCACAGGAAGAAGACTGATTTTTATACAAGGGGGTTTTTTCAGACCCAAAATAATCCTCCAATTAATTTTTTTTTAAAGTTTTAAAATTAATGTAATTCTTATATAGTGTACGATCTTACATCTGTTCTGGTCTAAAATTTCACATATTTTTCTCTATTTATAATTTTCTACCAATCTAGAAAGAAAGAATAGAAAATTCATAGCAATCCACAGAGTAGCTTTTTATTATCATTAACTTCTGATCCAAGCAAGCTACCTACATGATAAGAATTAAAAACTAACCCAGTAATGAATGTAGTTAACTTAATATATAATTCTTTGTGACAATGATTCGAAAGCATTGATTCATCAGTTAGGTACCTATCTGTTAGCGATAATTTTGGACATAATCCCAATAATATCTCACAAGGTGTAACCAGCTTCAGAGATTTAGATTAGTGCTAAATATATATATATAATAATAATAAAGAAAAATAATAAATACATTAAACAATTTAACCATAGATTATATTCCTCAAGCTGCTAAACCAGTCACTGAGCTTGTGGTTTTACATTAAGGTAGCTTTCATTGATAGAAAAAAAACATGTTAGATTATATTCCTCAAGCTGCTAAACCAGTCACTGAGCTTGTGGTTTTACATTAAGGTAGCTTTCATTGATAGAAAAAAAAACATGTTAGATTATATTCCTCAAGCTGCTAAACCAGTCACTGAGCTTGTGGTTTTACATTAAGGTAGCTTTCATTGATAGAAAAAAAACATGTTAGATTATATTCCTCAAGCTGCTAAACCAGTCACTGAGCTTGTGGTTTTACATTAAGGTAGCTTTCATTGATAGAAAAAAAAACATGTTAAGGGTTTGAAGAAGAAAGTGAGAAATGACAAAAGTATTTCTAAATATATTTTTTTTTCCTGAAAACAGTATTTGGTTTAAATTGCTACCATTAATTATTGAAAATAAACAGCTTACACAAGGTTCTTGAAAATTTCAGATCATATAACAATAAGTACTTAGAAACCATGAATACAGGCCTACTGAAGTGATCAGAAGCCATGGGTACAAGCATACTGAGATGATAAACAATGAACAAATTATCCACAACCCTCATTTTCCAGTAAATGATGCTTAACTGTGTAAGAGACATTATTAACCCTGCAAAATGCTTAAAACTACAGGGGATCGTTTGAAAACATATCCCATATTATCTTAGTGAACAATAAAATTCTTATCCTTGCACCTGTGGCTTTAACATGTGGTGAGAATATACTTTCATGACTGTTACATATAGTTGGATAAAAAGTTATGAAAAGAAAAAGAGAGGAACCTTGAATGTGTGCTAAAAATATGAAGCCAGCATTAAAAAACCTGATATTTAACAATCTTCAATGAAAATATTTGGCTCACAATATTCTGCTTATTAAAGAAATACTCTTGTCGAGCGAGTTTTAGCTGATAGTCCCCCGTGATCACTACAGCACTGTTCATCTGTACGTACTGCTGTACAGCATTTGGGACAGTTGATTTCAGCAGCTCTAGAACCTGGTGCTGAACAGAGTGTAGGTTGTTCTCTGTCTGTTCTTGATGCTTTCTGGTAAGAAAAATAAACATCAAATCAGAATTTATAAAATCAACTTTTAGTATAACTGTTACATAATGATGTTTTTCTTTACTGTTCAAAAATCACAAGACTATGACCCACTTTTAATCTGAAGAACAAAATACATTGTACTACACTGTTTTGTTTAATAAATATATTAATACGTAAAGTTCAATTTTTTTTTACTACCAAAACACAAAATTATTTCAAAAACAAATTTTCCAAACTTATCAAATAGTAATTGCTTTCTTCTACAATAACTACAAAATTCTTTTTCTTTAAGATCCTGCAGTCTTATATTTATAATTTTATTACTTTCAGCAACATTTATCGAGGTTTACTTTAAATATTTTTCTAACTTGAGCATATACATGCTTATGTATCTGAAAATCAAATGAAATAAAGAAAAGAAAAACTATCTCTCTTAAAACAAGTACTGATTCTCATAATATTAAACAGTACTCAAATTTGGGAGGGTTTAACCTTTGTATAATTTTAATTAAACTTCAACTAAATTCCACTTCTTTTCCTAAACCTTATAAGTACAGCATCAGATGTAAAATCTTCAATATTCAGTTTCTTCAGTTTGTCTTGTAAGACAATCACTTTGGCATCCAAGGATCTTTCTTGTGCATATGCTTTGACCCTGGCTTCTTCCGTAACCTGTAAACTGAGTAAAACAAACATACATATAGATGTACACATAAATACACTACCCTAATTCTTTTGTAGTTATGTGTATATATACACAATTTATCAAATAAATAGTTACACAAACTATTAGTCTATGTTTGTTGCATACAAAAAATATTTTTCTCTAAATACAGCACACTTACTAGAAACAATGCTACTTTAGATTTATTGTTAACTTCTGTTAGAGATATTGTTGAGAGGGGTAGGAATTGTGGAACATCTGGGTTAAAATGATCATTGCTCTATTACATTTGATATCTTGCTGCATATGGAAATCAGAATTAATGATATTTTGCTTACAAATTTCAAAAAGTTGATTTTTAAGGAATGCAACAAGAATTATCTGTCATGAATGGGGCAGCTGAGTTACTTGGAGACACTGATCAAATGTGGAAAATTTTTAAAGATAATTTTTTTTTAATATTCAAAATAAACATATTCCTTATAGAAAGAAAAGGGTAGCTCACAAAGGGTATAAGAGATAAAATTAAAGAAAAGAATCATAAATTTAAGAAATTTAAATTGACTGATATGACAGGAGATTTAGAAGATCAAGAAAGTTGGTCAAATAGGAAATCAAAAAGAATATATGAAGAAAGGTTGGCTGAAACCGTAAAAATTAACAGTAAGGATTTCTTTAAGTACATTAACGGTAAACAAAATGTTAGGATGGGGGAAGTACCCTTGAGGGATGATAAAGGAAGGCTCATATCTGATGATTATGAGATGGCTGGGTTATTAAATTCTGCTTTTTCTTCAGTTTTTACAAATTAAGATTTAAGCAGTATTCTTCACCTCGAACAGTTGATAGATGGAAACAAGGTTGGACAATATGACTGCATTAATTCTGAACTTGTTAAGAAACAATTGGAAAGTTTAAAAACTGATAAGGCTCCTCAGTCAAATATTGTTTCCCCAAGCGTTTTGAAGAAGGTTAAGGATTAGATATGTGACCTACTTGCTACTACATTTTGTAAGTCCTTGAATAGTAGGCAGGTACCAAAAGATTGGAAGTTAGCTAATGTCACCCCTCTTTTCAAGGGAGGTAATAAAAATTGTCCCAGTAATTATAGGCCTACTAATCTTACACCAGTTGTAGTAAAAGTTTTGGAAAATCAGATAAAAGATGCTTTGCAAAGTCATTTAACAAAGTTTAGAATATTATTGGATAGTCAACATGGTTTCACTAAGGGAAAATCTTGCCTTACAAATCTTTTGACATTTTTTGAAAAGGTTACTGTTTATGTAGATGAGGGTAAGGGTGTAGATTTGGTGTATCTGGATTTTCAAAAAGCATTTGACAAGATGTCACATAAAAGGCTTGTAAAATTATCTCTATAGGTGTGGGGAAATACCGTATTTTTCAGAATATAAGACACGCCCTTATTTTGAAGACAAAGTTTTGGGGAAAAAAAAAGCTACAGTCACATTT